AAAGATTTAAAGATTTTTTTTTTTTTATCAAATGAATATAGATTAATATATTTACTTCCAAATAAAAGATAACGGAGCGAAAATGTCGAACGCTCAATAAAATGTATAATATTATTGGTACTCGGTCGGCCCATGAAGCTATAAGAATTGAAATACCTAATATAAACGTTGACAATATTCTAGTATTGTATTTATAGCTACACCTACTGTTCGTTGTGTTGTAAAGGAGCGTGCACATAAAATATGAATCGTTTCAGATTTAATTGTGTAAAGTTTGATTGGACTGATTTGATTGCGACAATACACTGAATTTATGTTATTATATTTAATATCCCATAACTCGTCTAGAAATAATTTTCACACCAATATACCAGTCAAATGCGTGATTTATCATTGATTATCATTAGATAAAATGATTTATTTCCAATTTCAGTGTACACTGATATATATACTATAGATTAATTTAAAATCTAAAGAATTGGATAAACAATTTAATTTTGTTTTGATTATTATTTTTCTTATTCCATTTCTAAAGCAAATAATCATAAAACCTATTATTATTGACCATTGCAGTACTTTTTTTCCGGAGATATAATTGTTTGTGCGATAAGCTTTTTCCTATACATGTGGTCAGAATTATTGAAATTAACATACAGTTATGTTAACAATTTTGTAACTCTTAAAAAAAATTATTTATTAAAATATTGAATAAAATATCAGTTATTTAGTTTATTTATATATAATCGTATAAACTGCAGATTTTAAGCTTCAAATTATGGACCTGTTTTATAATAAAATAGTTACATTATTTTTTTTTTTTTTTTTAAGAGAGGTTAAGTTAGTATAACTTTTTTTATAAAAATTATAAAGTATGTTTTGTCGAAATATGTTCTAAATTATTTTTTTATTGATTTTTTTTTAAGACTTGTGGAATAAAATTAGTCTAATTATAGTCGTCATTTTGTATTAGTTTTTTATTTATTAAAATTATGGTAAATTGTTTTTTAATACTTCTCAATTAGAGTTGTTTCAGCTAATAAATAAGGTAAATATTATACTATTGTAGGGCTCCGTATAGGATTAAATAAATACAAAAAATAAATTTTATAATTAAAGATAATAAATATTAAAATTATATTTTGGTTATTAATTTAATATTCAAACTGTATTCAATACATTTGGATGATCTTTAAACGATATGTTTTTTTATGAACACTTATAATTTAAGAATTCCATAAAAACTGTAAAAAATTTAGTTCCACTCAGAATCGTTTTTCAAAGTTTTGATTTATCATTATTTTAAATTTAAAACAATAATAAAAAAACAATAAGCTAACGGCGAGGCAGATACAGCATTAGTACGAAAAATATCCAGTATCCAGTTACTATATATTATTTATATATTATCTAATCTTGTTCGAAATTTATTGATTTTAAATTTCAGAAATCATTCAAGGTTATATTCATTAAATCAAAAAAAAAATAATTGACATTAAATATGAATTATATAGTTTTAATTATAGTTTCATCAAATTATTTTTTATTTATGAAAATTATATTCCGTCGGGATATTCGGAACTGTGAATTTATTTTCTTGTAAGACTTTCATATTTTATTAAGTTTCTTATACAAACTGTAATTAAGTTATTACTTGTCGAAATCTATTATAACGTGTAAAAATTAATTATAAGTTAATTTCGCTTTTTTTTTTGCTCTTACGTTCATCAATCATCATTGTCAACTACAGTATACAAATATTTTTTCTCATTTAAGAAAAAATTTTAAGCCACAGTTTCATAAATCTATTTACCATAAATTCACCAACATTAGTTAGGGTATTGAATAGGGTTAACATCAGGATCTAGTATACTTATTTATTTTTCATTAAAACTGAATTATACAGTGTACATCTATATCTATATTTGAATCGAATATTTATGATAGGGGCCAAGTCCAAAAAGTGAAAATTTTGGGAAATTAAAAATAACTATTTTTCTCATACAATTTTACATGAAAAAAATTATAAAAAATATCTTAAATTTTTATGTATTGTATAGTGTTTAAGTATTTATTAGTAGCATTTATAAGTATTTATTTAAATTTGTGAATACCAATTGTTCAAATTTTTTTTTAACTTATAGTGTGAGTTTAAATTGAACAACTTGGACCCTTTTTGTAAAGAAATGAGTTATACTTAACTTTTTTCAAATATAAAATTACTAAATCATAGACGGGGTTGTGTGTAATATAGTGATGTAAACCAAAACTACTCAACCGATATATTTTAGTATGTCTTTTAAAATATATAAATCATTAAAAGGAACTTTTTCCAATTTTTATTTAATTTCATTGTATAACATCTTCAAAATAAAACAAAAACTTTACAAAAACTTTACATAAATATTTAAAATATTGCAATTTCTCAAACATATTTATTTTAATTTAAAACCATTATCAACTTATAATATAATATCTTGATTAGCATGTGAAAATTTTCTTCTCCAAACTAGAAGGTCTTTGAAAACCATATACAAACTCTCCAATAATAACAATACCTTTTTTATCAGAAAATAATTCAAATTTTCTATAAAATGACAAATTAAATCGTTCTTTTTTTCCACTTTTTAAACGCTGGTTTTCTAATGAAAATGTAGATTTTTTGTTCAATATTTCTCATCATGTTTAGATAAAAAGTGTATCGAAAACTAAATTTTCTTTTCTGTATTACTATATCATCACTTAACGCATTATCTGGCTCTACGTTTTCGGCGATTACAAAATTTTAATTCGGTTTATCGGCAAAATTTGTATTTATTTATGATTACGGTCAACTACGGTACAAAGCATTATTCATAAACAAACTAATTGTTTGAATCGCCATACTTAAGTAATTATCATATGAAGTTGATTCCTTTCAAAAGTAAACTATTCGTTACGAGCAGTAACGTATTTACAAAACATATTTATTAAAAAATATTTCATAAATAATCGATTCAATTTATTTTTAAAATCCTTAATTTTTTATTTGTTGAAAATATTTCTTTTTATGGTTATCGTATTACTATTTACATGTTTAGTATAAGAAAATCAACGGTTTTTATTTTTTTGGTTTTATTTACGGCATCAAGAACACATTTAGAAGTTGATAAATTATATTGATACTAATTTTATTTTCTGCTAGTCACACATAATACCTTATTAATATTACACACTGATTGACATTATACTTGTGATATAATTACTTATAGTAGCAGAATAAAAATGAAAAAAAATATATAGTTAAAAATTAATGTGTGTCAATATAACTAACGTTTTTACTGATAAATAACGTATGTACGAAAACGGAGAGATAATAAGTTACATATAACGAGTGTTAAAATAATAAAATATGCATCATATGAGAAGCTGGGCGACGAAATAACGATTCAATTTTTTTTAATACAAAAAAAAAAAAAAATACGAACTGTAACAATTTCACTTCAAAAAAATTATCTTTATGCGTTTACTGGTAGATATTTTAAATGATTTTCCCGTCAAAATGGATTATTTTATGATTATGCAGATGAACTGAAACATTAATAATACATTTTATTACAACCATGAAATAATATTTATACTGGTACAATAAATACTGTACATAAAAATTAACTAATTGGCGAAACTGGTATATTTTATTTAAATTATACATTATTACAATTTGAATATCTTATTAAATATCATTGAAGGGATAAATAGGCGGGAAACGTGTGATATCATTGAATAATATTCAATGGTGGCTACTAAATTAGATTACTTTCGTGTTCAATTTGAGAATCGCGTTTTTATTAAATAAGACATGACGTTGGATTTATTGAAACATGAAATGGTCAGTCTTGTTGATCATATAGCGAAATTAAGTTCTTTTCAATTTCATCACATATTAAATTCTCGGAGAACGTTCGATATTTTTCAATAAGCAACTAACCGTCTTATAAAGGAGTGATCAGGGATAATTCTTGTACACAAATCTAAGTATATGATAATAGTACGATGAAACAATAGGTGTCACGGACAAGTGCGCGTGAGGAGTATTATTCGACTCGTAAACGCGTATTTCGTATCGTTCGGTGGACGGAATAAAATCACACGAATAAAACCCTTAAAACGCGAATCGAAAACAGTGTGATCTTGTGACGATTGTTTCAACGTTTTGTGTCGTTTTTATATTTTATTTTTTACGTGCGCGATTGAGTGTGTCCAGCTATGACGGTGTTGTTAGTGGTGTGTCTGGTGTGCGTGCGGGTTACATCGTTGTTGTAATCAGCAACGATCATACACACACACACACACACACATACATACGTATACGAGAGAGATGGACGGGAGATTGGTCAAGTGGTCTCTTGGCGTGCAGGGGTAGACATACGAGAGCAGAAGTAGTAGAAGTAGTAGCGATAGAAACAGCAGGGCGGATAGAAAGTGAACACATTATCTATTAGAGGTTTTTTTTTACCCTCCCTCTCGATCGTTTGTTCCGTCTCCGTCCGAGCGTACCCCCATTCTCGCGGTCCCTATCCTTTTTCACTGTCGGCCGATAAAATACTGTGCGGTGGTCCCTGCGTGCTGCGTGTGTGTGTTCGTGCACCTTCTCTTTTTCCCCGCGGGAACACTTGCCGCTACGCCGTGTCACCGCGCTGCAGTACAGCGGAGCGCGGTATAAATAAAAACTACGGCCGGAGCGTTTGCGCGCTAGACAGAGAGACAGTGAGTGAGAAAGAGAGAGAGAGAGAGAGAGAGAGTGAGTGAGAGAGAGAGACGGTGAGAGCGAGGAAGATTTATAGCGAGAATGAGTGGGTGCGCGTAGGTGTGTGTGTGCGGGTGCTTACAGGAAAACTGTGCGGTGGGGCTTCGCGCGCGCGTCCTATCGATCGGGCGGCGGCGGCGGCGGCGGCGGCGGCGGCGAAAGATGGCCACCGCCGGCGCCCTCTCGCGCCGCCGCCACAAGGTGTATACCCCGGACCCCGGTAGGGCAGTTACAGCAGTCTCGCAGACGGTCGCGCCCCCCCGGTTCTGCGTGTTTGTCGTCGTCGCCGTCGTCGTCGTCGTCGTCGTCGTCGTCGTCGCCGCCGCGTGTCGTACCGTACGTGCGTGTGCATGTGTGCGTGCAAGTGCAATCGTGTGCGTCCGCGCGTGTTCTCGTGGGTGTCTCTGTCTCCGTCTCTCTGTCTGTCTCTGTCTCTCCCGTCCGCGCGGCGCGTAAACGAGTTGTGTTTTATTCGGCGGGACGCGCGTGTGAATCGTGTCCGCGTTCCGGGACGAAATAAAAAATAAAATCAAAACAAACGTTGTAGCCGTTTCACGGCACGTCCGATCGGGTACGGTCTCGTCGCGTTCCCGCCCGGGACAACACACCTCGGTTCCGGTGCACACGACGACGTCGCCGCCGCCGGTCCAGGGCACGTCCGGCGCGCGCGCGGACACATGACCGCGTGGCCGTCGCGGACGATGGCCGTGTCCACGGTGGCCGCAGCAGCCATCGATAGCCCGCGCGCCGCCGACGAATCGTACGCCGCCACCGGAACCGCACCCGGCACCGCTCGCCGCGCCGCCGAAAACCGTCCGCGCGACCATCGCTCCAACGTTTCGCTACGTCACTTCTTCTACTACTGGTGTTGTTCTAATTACGCTACTGCGGCGGTGGCGGCCACGACGACTCTGTGCCGGTCGGCCGCGTTACGCCACCGTCTGCACTGATATTATGGGCCGCCGCCGCGTAGCCCGCACCGTGTTCCGGCATCGTCGTCGTGTGCGGCCAGCGGACCGCCGCCGTCGTCGCGCGCTTGTTGTTATGGTCGATTGTGCGGGTCACCAGCCCGGCGACACGACATGATCTCTGGCGTCGACACGACGCTACAACGCATCATCGCCGCCGCACTCGTCGGATCATCGTTTACCCAGCAGTCAGCTGCAGTCGCGCTCTTTTACCGTCACTACCATTACTGCTGCACTACACCGCTACCGGCTTATTATCCGTCAAGTAAGTTTACTGACCCGTTATCGTCGTCCGCGTACCGATCGACGTACGCGCAAACGACAATCGTCGCAACGGTAACAATAATAATAACAACGTACGCGGTTATTTCCGCGTCGTTTACCCCCGGACACGTAGTCCGCGCGTTTTTCCCCCGTCCGCATTCGTTTACGTAATATACAATATTAGAATCGGGTAGGGGACGGTTTTTCTTTTTCTTTCTGCGTGTCCCCTTCCCTTTCCAGGTGCCGGCGCCCGCCACCGGTCCCACCCGCGTCACCGGCACACTTCTGCGTATCTCGCGGTACGCGCGTGCACGCGTGCAGGTACTTCCGCCGCCGGCGACAAAGCGCGTTACGTAATCCTTCGCCGTTGGAAAACTTTTTTTTATCCTTTTTATTTTTTTTTTTTTTGCACCGCGTTCACTTAGTGTATTAGTGTACACGCGCAGCCGTCGTGTCGCAGCGAACAGTGTGCATAATAGCGGTGTGGGGTTACCGTAGCCGTCTCCTTTCGCGAGGACAAAATCAATATAATGTATAAAACGGCCGTGGAAATCCGTCACGCGGTTATGATAACACCGCTGCCGCCTCCGCCACCGTGTCCGACGTTTCGAATCCGAAATCGAACGTCCCCGCATCATCATCGACCCTAACCACCGCCACCACTACTACTGCCTATCCCCATTCCACTCTCGTCGGACGTACGTGATAACGACTGCGGTAACAACAATAATTATGTACGATTATCGCGTCGTCGTAGTCGTGCAATAACGTGAGAGACAATTGTTCGATTACGGTTACGACTTGCGTACTCGACGAACATTCGCTGTTTGTTATTCACGCCGCCTCGCCCGATCGTCGGCTTAAAGTCGGCATGAGCCAAAGGAATAACGCCCGTTGCTGAATTACATGATATTCGTTGGTTCACTGCTACGACGTGACTATTATCGACTGCGACCGATCGGTCGCAGAATTATATCGCATTTGTGATATGTAGTATCACGTGATATATTTATTAAAGGTCTCGTGTTCTACTGTTCGGTTACGATTATTCACAGGGGTATTCTCTTACGTTCGTCGAATTCACGCACTACTTGTGGTGGAGTTAAAACTCTGGGTTCGAGTGCGGGTTGATGGCGAGACGCGCGTACGGTCTAATAGGGTTATTATCGATTCCGAACGCCTTTCCGAATAGGTGTCCGAGAAACGCGTGTGTGTGCATCGGATCGCTCTGTTTATATAAATAAATAAATAAATAAATATAAATGTATATTTTTCACTGGTGCGCACCGTACCTCGGGATAATATAGTCCTTGTCCGGACGCTGTTTTTAGCGTAAAATATTCCTTCCCGGTAACCGCGGCCAGCTCTTCTTCTTCTTCCTACCGCCTAACAATCTTTCCACCCGAACGAGGTAATCCGTGACGCGATGTTCGCGACGTTATAATACTCTGCACACCGAGAACGGCGTGTGAGTCGTGCACACACACGTGTGTTTACCCTACTGCGTGCCTAGTTGCCGGGGGCGGAGGACTTCGTTCGTGGATTACGTATTCCGACGGTCTTTGAACTTTTCAAGTCGCTAAAATCTACGAAGCTCCAAAATCCGGGAATCCACAATTTTTAGCTTATGAAAACGTTGACGTATCAATTATTTGATGTTCAATCGATTTCTTTTGCACCATAGAGTACGAAATTTGTACGCTCCGTATAAATTCGAAATGTTGAATTTAATCGAAAATTTTATATATATATATGTATACTTTTCCCTCGTTTACCAGCGCTACAAAATTTGTGGTTTAGTAGTGAAGAAAATAATGCGCTTGTCCGCATGATTAAAATCGATCCGTATAGATATTGCAGTATTGAACTCGTAATGTTTGGATTTGATTTAATTCAGATGTGTCCCCGGAGTCCTAGGTAGCGTGGTTTAAGAACCACCGGATTATAATATTTTCGTTGAGACGCACTGCAAATATGTACGCTCGTCGCAGACTTGGATACATGTATACCACCGATAAACGTTTTCCGAATGCGCCCCGCGCGTTTCCTATTAATCGACCGCGCGATTGTTCCGTGTCGTAAGGGTATGGATTTTCATTTTCATTTTTTTTTTTTTTTTTTTTTTTTTATGTCAAATACACTTTCCTCGCTAATTGGGTTGTACAAATTTTATCCAGCTAATGGATTTGTGTTTGCGCAATACGATACCTCCCCCCGCTGATATAAATTTTTCTCTCAAACACGCGCGTATTACTACACGTTTTATACTTTTACGATCGACAAAATATGTACTATATTTTATTTAACAGTCTTATAATTTTGTAATTTATTACGTTTACAGAACGCGTCGTTGTTTTCAACAGATTAGCTACGTACAACGGAAAGGAATAAAAGTGCGACACGTTTCTCAATAGCGCAAAGTCGTCGTAATAAAATGAAATGATTTTATCATGTGATCTCTAAGTTTTGTAATAAATGTATTGTTCTACACTTATGTGTATGACAGAATGAAACGAAAAGTTCATCGATTCCGATAAAATATCTTTCGTCTAGCATAAACAATTATTAAAACGATTGTTTACTGAGATAAAATGCATATCAATTTTAAAATCGGCAATCATGAAAAAAAAAAAAAAATTATAAAATAATTACGATATTTTACTGAAGATTGAAAGTAATTTTTATTAGGTTTTTTTTTTTCTTTCAAATTCAAATGTAAAAGGCAAAATGTTGATACATTCATAAGATCATAATTAGTATTTTTATCGAAAAAAAAAATCTTACAGTATTGCTACTCTTCCAAAAGAGCTACGATAAGCCTTTTTCATATTTATGACTACTGCTGACTGTTTCAAGATACTTTTTTGTTTTAAAAATGTCATCATCAATGAAATCGGATTTCTTAAAATCGATTTAAAAAGTTTATCATAATATGCAGTATAAAATGTATTTGTGCAACAATAATGTATATTTATTTTTCATATAATTTATTTGTTTCCCTATTAGTTTTGTATTCTCATTAATAAAAAAATCAAATGATTGTTAATATTTTAATTATTTTCCGATTTCTCAGATCTATAATATTCAATCTACATTTCTATAAGTATTTATATTCATATATAATGGTATGTTTTTGAGCAGTATTCCTTAATATTTTTTCGTTGAAATGATTCGAGAAATGGCTTTTAGAGATCCGAAAGCAATCCGAGATCGCAATCGGAGACCGAACTTGTCGACCACTCTTTTTTTGATCCTTGAATGGGATAAAGACTGTGAAAGGTATAAGCTGATGGCTGATTCGGGTTTTGCGCACGTCACCAAATGCGTATTAAACGGGTGGTGTTTAAACATGTCATGTAGTGATCCTTTGTTTTAAATTCGAATAAGGGTTTCGGTTAACGGGCAAAGATTTTAGAAACGTTTTCGTCAAGTACCTCATAAGTTATACTGAAAAAACAAAATGTTTACTCGCGATAACACTAAAGATGACCCTAGCCTATACCTGATTTATGGATAAAAAAAAAAAAGTGCTTACTAATATATCAAACATTGAAATATTCTAAATTAAATATTAGCCCGGATTGAATGTTAATTCTTGTATGTTCATTTATACACGAGTGTTTACGCTTTAGTTTAGATACCTAATCAGATAATATTATAATTCATTTAATGTGTTACGAACCTATTGGAGTACAACAAATTCTGAAAAAATGATATTTTCTACCATTTAAGTTAGATTTGTATTTAAAATACTACTAATATTCAATCGATCTAATTTTGATTGTTCACTAGAACTTCAGATCATTATATAAATGATTATTTATACATAAATTACATACAATTTTCACGGTAAAATAAATAAAAACAATAGTTATTATCATAGACGTTATTTAAATAAATTTTTAACTTAAATTTTGCATCATTCAGAAATTGTATGTTATACCTCAAAACCGTTTGTAGTATTAAAAATTATTGATTTATTTCCTCGCTCTAAAACGTACCGTCATTAAAAATAAATTGTTTTAAACGGTTATAAATGAAGCTTCGATACGCTTTTTTTTTTATGGCACTAGACGAAAACCCGTACACACGTTATCTTATGAAATATGCAAATCCTTTAACGAGCCGACGGCGCCTTCCTTGTTATAAAGTGTACTCGTCCTAAGCGTGTTAACTCTTAACTTTGATACTTGACGGTAAGGATGGGACAAAGAAACTTTTTCATATTTTATTTGAACCTTGCATTATGTATTCATGGACGAGAGAGAGAGAGAGAGAGTGAGAGAGAGAGAGAGAGAGAGAGGGAGAGAGAGAGAGAGAGAGAGAGAGAGAGAAAGAGGCCGCCGTATCATGTGATCTGGAGATATTCGCTTGACATTCCATAGAAAGATGAGCGTGACGTATTATGGCATTTATCGTGTGATTATTTCAGTCCTGAAACCGAACCGTTCAAGTACCATTGATTTTCTTTTTTCTGGTTCGTACGACGATCAAAACGTGATCGCTACTAATGGCCTTTTTGTTCGGGTTTTCCGGAAACGCGCGGGAAGAATTGTTTTTATGATATTCTCGACGTTTCACGTTTAACATTCGTGTACTGGAATGATAATCATCATTGCGGAATTGCAATATGGTGGTTTAGGCACCAAGCTTTTGTGTGATAATAATAAACATCAAACGGCGATTCGCGCCACCAAACGTGTTACCGTGTTGGTACGTTTATTTAGATTTTATTCTTTCACAAAATCGTTCGTTAATTTGTAAATCGTGACTCATTTCGTACGTATAAAATGACCTAGTGAACACGTGTATTTCTGTTTTTCACTCGATTCGTCCGAATCGATTTCGTTTTAATGTTTCGGCACGTTATGGATGGGAAATAATAATAAAAAAAAAAAAAGAAAATAAACAAATAGATCGGCGTTATCAATCCGATATTAGGTCGGTAGGAAAATGTTTTTATTTGTCCAGTCGTGCGAACCCGTGAATTTGGTCAGCGCGGTCCGTCGTGTTCACGTACGTCCATGCACAGATCCGTTCGCGCGAGTAATCGCAAGCGTGTAGACTTGCGCAGCGGTTCGGTTCAGCAAAATACACCTCTGCCGCGTCGTCGTTTGAAGACGTTTTTCGAAAACCCTACGAGGTCATGGGCGCAACCAGAGCCCAAATATTGGGGGTGCTGAAACTGCTAAAAATAAAATCGGTATTTCACTGTAATCGCTATAGGTTATATAGATCTGAAAAAAAAAAACCAAGAGGGCTACGTTTGAACTCAGAGGTACTGAAAACCCTATTCGGCCTACGTACGAGGTCCGAACGAATTGCGAACGAAGTCGCTACGCGTAGCGTGACGCGCGTAATTTTTTGTTCGGTTGACCGAGCGTTGACCGAGTGTGTACGGACCAGATGTCTAACCGGGGCGTATGACGTTTTGTGTGTTGCAGGTACAAGGAGGAAAAATGCGGATTCCGCGGCGAAACGGCCGGATCGGTTGTGATAGAGTGGTGGCGCCGGTCCCGGCGGTACAATGCGCGCTGCCAGCACCGGCGGCGGTCTCGTTCGTCTCGTCGTCATCTGGCTGGTGGTGCTCGCAGCGCTGGTCATGACCGCAGCCGGCGCCTCGTCAACGTCCGCGGCGGCCACCGTCGTCACGGCCACCGCAACGGCCACGGCCGCCGCCGCCGCCGCTGCCGCTGCTGCTGCTCATAAGACCGCCACGCCGCCGACGGCGATGTCGGAACCGGGTGGCGGGAACGTGACCGCGGGCCGCGCGCCGTGCGAGCTGGTGCGCGTGTCGCTGCGCAAGCCGGCGTGCACCGGACAGATTAGCGAGGGCCCGGGCCCGCCGCCGCCGCCGCCGCCGCGGTGCCCGTCGTGCACCCGACGTTCCGATAATAATAATAATTATAATAATAAGAATAATAAAAATAATAATAATAATATTAATAGTAATAATAATAATTACAATAATTATAATAATAATAATAATAATAAAATAAATAATAATAATAATAATAGTAATCATGAGTGCCTTGAATACGCCCGTCGGGAGCTCATACCGGAAATGTGCCCGGACGACCCGACCGCGTACCGTAGTCGGCCCGGCCGCCTGTCCCGGTACCGGCTCCGACATTGCTGTCACCACACCGTCGAGTCCGTTGCGCAGCAGCCGTACGGTGACCGGCAGTCGTGCTACGACCGGGTGAACGAAGCGCTCGACCTGGACGACGTCGCGGCCGCCATGTCGTGCCAGTTCGACGAGGTTCTGGCCAGGTACGATTGCAATCAGATGTACTCCGCCAAGTCGTGCGAATCGTGCAAGGTAAGTTTTTTTAGCTTATAGACCGTTCCTCCCCGATGTTTCCCCTAAACCGGGTTCCGCGAACAATCCATTCGAAAGGGGTCTTAAAAAGATTAACGGACAACAACCGGTTTCGGTCCCATCGTACGTCTACATTCCGCGCGAACAGAAAACCACTGACCGTGAAGGTACAAAAATATAAACATACATTTTTCTACCATTTCGTTGGCGGTTCGAACCCTTAAAGCCCCTTCCGGCACCTCACCGTTTATCCGTTATTTATTTTATGTTTCTCTGTTTATCTTCACGCACACGCGCGCATACATATGATACCACGATCCTTTAAAATACATACTTAAAGTTGCGATAAACGTTTTATCATTTATTATTTAAATCCTCGTGGGACGCCTACAGCACACAGCGTGTACACCGCGTGTGCTAGTCCGTGAAACGCGTTGCTCGTTCATAGAGTTTTCGCCGTTTAACACGTCCGACGTAATATATTTACACGTCCACAGGGCCGTATTTAATCAATCCGATACGAGATAACGGTAACGAAACGAATAAAATAAACGAGAGTATTACTTGCTTACGAACGTCGTTCGCACGTTATTGTTGTTGTTGTTGTTGTTGTTGGTATTATTATTATTATTACATCGTAGCCGTACCACGAATACGGGCACCGTCGAAACGTCAAATTAACCGAATATCACGCACCAGACCACGAGGCTATTGTTATCGTTATTATTATCGTTATCGCCGTCGTGCGCTGTAGACATATTTATATTATTATACACCCTCGCACGGCCGGTTCAATGTTTTCCCGTTTTCTACCCCTATGCACACAGATCGAGATTTTCGGGCGCCGTCGAAATCTCCGCACGTATCCCGTCAACGGTCGGCACCTTTGTACCCTGGGAAACGTTCGCACGCAAAAGATGTGCGCTCTATCGATTAGGCGGTTGGCGCGACGCCAACAGGCCCGAGCCGACGGAACGCGACGGCGATATAAATTATTCGCTTGGCCCCGACCAAAAGCCGTTATTGATACGGCCGTGACGTCCTTGTGCACGTGGATCGAAAGTGTCGAAAGAGACGTAAGAAATCTTCTGAGCACACCGAAGCGTGTGCGAAACCCTCTCCGGCTGCACCGGGGTGTCGTTGCGTTTCGCACGTTTATCGTATCCCGTGAGGGGGGAAGGATCTCTTGTGATTTATGTCGGTTTTTCCGTTTTTTTTTTCATTTTTTACATTTTTTTTTTTTTTTTATAACACGACAGTGTATGATAATGTATTAGAGGATGTAGGTCGGCCACTCTCACTTAGGCGCGAACATTATAAATGGACGTGTCGATGGGCCGCCACCGGAGTAGTAAGTTTGAATAAAAAAATAATAAAAAATAATAGACGCATACGGGAGGATACAACGGACATTTATTATACTGCACGGCTATACCATTTTATCCGCCGAATAATAATAAGGTTACTTGTACACGTACAGTTATAAATAAAAAAAGAATAACGGTTTGATTGATAAAATGTAAGCGAACGAGTACGCTAGAAAAATATTCACACGTAAATACGTATGCAAAAGTTATTTTTAATCGAATGTTAACTGTTCGGAACGATAGAATTAAAACTGCCATATGTATACCGTAAAATCAACTTTATTTAGTTAGCGTTATAATAATATAAGAGGTTTATTATTATGCTTTGGCGAGGTCTTGTAGGTATTTAGTCATAATGATGTGTTTGGACTTTTTAAATAACTTTAGTGGGTATTTAAAAAGAAAAAGAAAATTTCCTTTCCACTGTGCAGTGAGTATAATGTTACAAAAAGCTAAAAAGTTTTCTGGATACAAAGCCAGAATGAAGGAATACAGAGATGCTGATAAGAACTTTTTAGTTGATATAACTCTTTCATGTTTTATTAATGACCTAAATGAAAAAGTAACGTTATTGGTTTTCACTCAATTAGTTTCAGTCAATGCCGGCACACTCGTTACGTAGTTTGTAAATTATTACAATCTTATTTTAACAAAAACCATTTCAATATTATACGTGTGAAAAATTCGTTTTCTTGTTATTCATTTAACGTATTTTTGAAAATCACGTTTGAAATGTATAAATTCGTATAAGTTTTGTTTGCTTTGGTCTTGAGTAACTTTTTCCGCTTGCAAATTCAAAAATTTACTATTTAATATTTAACAAATTGGTATATAAAATGCACAAATATTTCAAAGGTTTTTTTTTTGTTTTGTAAATTATCGTCAACTATTTTCACGCTGAAATATTACACGGATTAAAGGTATTAATGGTAAAGTATTATTATTATTTTTTTTAGACCAGTTTTCCCAATCGATTTTGTATTACATATTTCGTCAGTTTACGACCCATGGACATAAAAAATGAAAAAATAAAACATCGTGAAAATATCTCCCCATCTAGTATTTTTACTACCATAAAATTGACGTTTAGTATTTGGTGGTGACAGGGGGAAATCACATAAACACCTATACACATAGACACAAAGCTTAAAGTATATGGAATCGTATTCGGAATGGTTGACAAGATGTGGGGCTACTAATAGTGTAACGAAATCATGTAATTGATTCGGATTGGTTGTGTGGGACCAATATTAAACGAAAAACTATTTATTGACCCTTCGAGGTTACATGGTGTTAACAAAATAAACGCAATAAATTTCTGGGCCAGCCTTCCGAAGAAATATACACAGGTTGCTGGTAAACATTTCAATATTTTTTATGTATTCATTATTTCGTAATATATTTTATTTTATTTATCCGATTAATTAAAAAGGGTGGAAAAAAATAGAACTTAAAATAATAATGAAAATTCTTTCAATTCCTCCATGGTTTGTTATTACGATGATAACATCATATGTTTTATCAGACTGAATAGTAATAATAATATTTACATAAATAATAGCGATGATAAAGATTAGGTATAAAAAAACAAAACAAATTATCTACACGAAAATTAGAAATATTATTAATTTAACTGAAAAATATGATAGTTAAAAACAATGAATTACACTCAAACCAATCTCGCTGACATTTCGATAATCATTTAATGTACATGTTAAGTAAAAATGACTCGCACTAAGAACTATTTAACTATCTACTTACTACTTTGATCTATCACTATTTCATCGATTACTTGATGAAAAAAAAATATAAAAATTCGTCAAATAAATCGAATCTCTCTCATATTACTATTTAATTTCATTACAGCTAATTTATATGAATATAAAAACTATGGATTTGAAAATTGGATTGTTATTTTAATGCAGTAATTATGTAAAATAGTTAATGCATACAGCACCGTTGTCGAAATTAATGCATTTTTAACGTTTTAATAGCGCAGAAAAATATGATTGAAAGTGAACGAAGTAATAACATTGTAAATTAATATGGTATTGGAACTACCCATTCGTACAATGATGTTATGTATGCACATCATTATAATATTACACTTGCTCGTGATTATGAAATCAACTATACCGACACGTCCAAAATATATGAACTCGATTATAATTTGCGAGTTTTCGCTCGTATTTTCTATTAACGATTCGGATTAATGCTATGGGTTCTGCTATGTGCATGTTTTGTTTCGTCATTTATACGATCGTAATGTTTCGATGACCATTTTTACTGTATGACTGGCGTTTTAGTTGAGCCCCGAAGATAGCCTATGAATCGTTGTAGAGTCGAAGCTACAGACTGAACAAATCATAAACAGAATACTTGCTCCAGCCACTTTGCCGTTAAATAAATAAACATGTTCCACTGACAATGAAAGGAATTAGGGAAAAATATCATTCTTAATGGCTATGCATAATTAATATACGTCACGCCCCAGTAAATGGCGTTAATGCGTTTCTATCGATTTTTAGCGGAGAAATAATACGATTTTATAAAAACCGTCTGATGGAAAACCGGCGACTTGTACTCCGTTTATGTAAAATAATACATTATATTGCTTTTAATTATATATATATGCAGTATTATTCTTTTCGAGTATAAATTCACGACTGTAGTTTTATTAATTATTATTACATACATTTTTCCATAGTTGTGTTTCTAACATTTCAGAGAATTTATTGTAAGAAAAAAATTTATAACATAGAAAATAATTCTAAACACTTTAATCATTTTAAAACATGACTTCAAATAGTTCACGTAAGGTTTTAGTAGTAAAATGCAGTTTTCTTACGAATTGAAAAAATACACTATCCATAAAAAACATTAGAGTAGTTAACATGTGATTTACTATAATAAAGATGGATCTAAAATATGGTAAAATGTGAAAGTTTAGATCAGTGGTGGCCAAACTACGGTCCATGGACTAACTCCGGCGCACCATCATTTAATATCTGGCTCACGAAAGTATTCTATATTACAACACTTATTTCCATAACTGTAATATTTTACATTTACGTAAAAAAAAATTGAAAAATACATTTTTTTATGGCCCGAGGTAAAAAAAGTTTGGTCACCACTGGTTTAGATGATAAAATATCTATGAATAAAGTATTTGATTTTCGACGGTACTCGGGTGATTTGTGATGTTCCAAAGTTAAAATTGCATAAGTATTATTACTATGAATAAGGAAATGACTTCCCGAAATTAACATTACTTGGCATATATTCCCCCAAATGCTGAAAATTTGATCCTGAATCCACCACAGTGGACATGTTTACGTAGGAACAACTGATTTCAACAACATGATGACGTATCTGGATAATATTCCAAAATTAATGTATGAACTTAAAATGTAACGTAATTGTGTCGCAAATCATACGAAATTACAAGGTCAATTTCATAATGTTCTATACCTACGTGCATTGGATAAAAAACGAAAACTCACATTTTAGCGAACTGTACGGTGTGGAATGTTATGTATGCGTAATCTGTAGTGTCAATGATTTAGTCCTGTGCTAACTTCGTTATTATTATTAATATCAATACACGAAGGTTTCAAACGTTACGCGTGGCCG